AGAGAAAGAAAGAGGCGAGAGGGGAACAAGTCACATGGGAACAGCACAGGCAGAAACACGGGGGCCGGCAGTGGGTGTGTATTATTGTTTATTTCTGCATCTTATGATGTTTTGGGCCATTAAACAGGTTGGAAGTCACGGAGACACAGGGCCGCCCAGGGCCGGTCAATTCTCAGAGACAGCAAAGAACTTCAGATGCAAACCAACCCATCCTGAGCCCATATTCCCAGCCTCCCCACCTGCCCCAAATCACCCAGCACCTGGTCAAGGAGACCAGTGTTGGAGACGGGGCGGGAAGGCTCCTGTCCCAGGAACATGAAAACAATGTTTCATGTGCCTCCTTGGAGCACAGGAAAGTCACCGAAGGCTATTCCTAGTTGGGGCTTCCACCAGGAGAGACCTGTACTGCTGGTTCCCTGAATGACCTTGGGCTGGTCCCTTCTCCTCCGTGGGCCGTGTCAGCCCCTGTGGAGCCACTGTTGAGGTCCCTTTGTTTCTGCCCTGTGGCATTTAAACAGTCCTGTCTCCTTCCTTTTTCTAGCCAGGGGCACATTGGAGGCAGGTGAGTCACGAGCTTGCAGGGAGAAGGTGACATTGATGTCCCAGGACGGTCCCTGTAGCCTGGTGTCCGCACCTCAGTCCCATCTCAAGAGGAAGGGGGGGATCCATCAGGAGCTCTGCCTCCTGCTCCGGGGGCCTCCACACCTGCGGGGCCCACACAGGTGTCAGCTCAGAGACTCGACCTCTTTGCCTCTAACTCCAGGCAGAGCCGGAGAGTGCGGCCCCACCTGCACCTCAGGGCCAATCCCTGCCCTTCCCCGGGGAGAGACAGGCCTGCTCACCTGGTGTAGTAGAGCCAGGTGAGGACGTAGGTGAGGAGGAAGCCAGCCCCCATGAGGGCCCCTCTGATCAGGGTGAGGACCAGGGGCCAGGAGCCCCGCTGCTCCTCGGTCACACATCTGCAGGGAGGGCAGCCTGGGGACGCGGGAGAAGGGTGACGTGTTGTCCAGGTGTCAGTCCACCCACAGCCCAACACCTGAGCAGGCGGCCGCCCCCCACACCTGTCCTGCACCTCACTCTGCACAGAGAGGCTGAAGGAGAGGAGCTGGGAGCCCAGTGGGTGCTGAGCCCGGCAGGTGAACTCCCCTCTGCCTCCAGCCCCACATGGGGCAGCGCCAGCAGCCCTGGTGCTGAGGGCTGGGAGGGGCTCTGG